CAGGAGCGACGAAAGGGCGCGAGCTAACACCCCCTGGAACAAGGTTAATGGCACTTTACCAGCCTATGCAATCAATAGTGCGGGAAGTGAATTGAGTGTTTACGTATAGATACCATCCTCTCCAGACAATGGGAGTTTTTGAGCACGTATCATTCGGTTTGTAGGGCATTATCAGTAATGAAACAAAGAGTCAATGCCTTCATTTGTAAACCCTTAGGAGTGCACATTCAAGCTGAATTAGATTCCTACAAGTCCGTTCGTGATTCCAATTCCTACTTACACCACCACTACGAACTAAATAGTGAAGTTAGAGTACGATAACCCCTCGCAGTACATAATGCATGGAAGTAATGGCAAGTAATGGCAACGCTGGCGTTTGTTCGCCCCTCTCTCCGCTTTGACGTCATACCATAGTGACGTCAACAACACGCGAACGCGTCTGTGCCTGCCGGTGAGCTTTTTTCATAGAACCCCACAATAGGGCTGGTACCGCCCAAGTAACGGCGCAAGTGGTCGTGCGCGCCCTTGGCAGTTTGCTCTGCTTCATCACTTCCAAAATACTACTTTAAACGCTAATTTCGTTCTAAAACGTTGAAAATTTTACTTTAAATACTATTTCCGTCTGGAAACGTGATAACCTATGACATTCAGCCGCTCTAAGGACTACATTCGGAAGATTTCGATGAAGGCCATACAACACACAATTCTGCTGTATGACTTTTATATCGTTTTATCGAGTAACTGGATCAGCCATAAAGCACTGAACACAGGAAAGACAAACACATTATTCTGAGCAAAGCACTAAGTATGTACAAGCGATCAGAAAGGAGAATCAAACACGTAAGCGAACGTTAGAAGCAAATGATGTCATGTGGATGAGATGATACAAATTCCTAAAAATACAGAAGATCGAATCTACTATTTCGCAATAAAAAATACACTTCACTGGAGACATACATAAAAATAAGAAAATCACATCTGTCTAGGCAATATAAGCATAATCAAATAATCAATAGAACCTATATGAGATGATATTGTGAGATAAAAAACTTTCATCACAACCGCTGTGCTAACTGGCGTTTCTCGTCCAAGTACAGCTGTACCCGTTCTGATCGACGAACTCTACCCTTACGATCGACCAACGATTCGAGATCGGTACGAGGAGAAACGAGATTCTAAATCTTGTGCATTTAAAAGTGGTCCTTCCTACCACAAACGTTCCACTTTCAAAGCACTAGGTTATAACTACACGTACTTGTTCGGATTTTGCAATTTCAAGGCAAACAGGGGAAGCAGTGACGGTGAAACGACAGATCCGAGGCCTCCTAAATCCTTCCCACAGGAGGACGTGTCCCTTCCTCCGATGCCATCCCTCCCCAGCCGAAAAGAGACCTAGTTGCAGAAAAATCAAGATCTTTCATCCTGGAACCTCGGCATTCGTTGATGTTGTTGTACTTGATTATTCTGCCTCGAGGTTTTGCTTGCGTGAAACTTCCATTCTAGTCTAGTTCAACCGCCTCATTGTTTTCAAAGGCATAAATTCCACCGCGAAGTTTAGCGAAGCGCTCCACATAGTCAGCACACCAGCAGCAATCCGGCCATACTTCTGCGTTTCTACCTTCTAAGCAGTTGGAACAGCTGAACCCCCAAGAAGTAGAACACTCCAATGGTAGAGGGTCACAACAATAACAAGGCGTTAACGGCCAGTTCTGGAGTGAAACCTTGCCTCCCCTTCCTTGGGGCTGGGGAGAGACAGCACTGAGGGTAAATCTTCTACGGCTGATGTCAGAGTCCGCGATCCTTTGCGCGATTTTCGCGATTTGCGCGACGGGTCACGGAAATCACAAGTGCCCCATCCATACTGCAAGGTGTTCTCCAATCCCGCCGTCACTTCTGCTTGATGGTTATGGTTTAATGGAGACTGCTCATGATTCCACTTGTTTCATATCCAGTGTTTCAATTGTTCAAATGGGGCACTTGCAATTTTTGTGATTGGTTTGGTTTGATTCCTGAAAAAAATAGGAACGATTCAAGAGCATTTGAACATGAAACAAGTAGAACCACAACATTCGTCTTCCAATCTTTACTGCCAAGCAGAATTCGCAGTATTCATCGGGCACTTCCAACTCCTGTGATCCATCGCAGGTTTCGCGAAAATCGCGAAAATCGCGCAAATCGCGAAAATCGCGAAATCGCGCAAATCGCGCAAATCGCGAAAATCGCGAAAATCGCAAATCGCGAAAATCGCGAAAATCGCGCAAAGGATCGCAGACTCTGACATCAGCCTACGATTTTTGGCTTGTCGATTAATGGGAGCACAAATCGCTGTCATCCATTAATTCCACTACTCAACCCATGCCGTGCACCAACGGCACTCTGGCTTATGTATTCTCAAACATGTATGTCAGGAAATCCTTCGCAGTGTGCACTGCTTCTCCTCGTTTTCGAGGCTAATCACAATGCCTTTCTTAACGCAAAGGATGCGGGCCTTGGGAGCTTTTTTGCTTCACCAATAATAGCAAAACATGGAATAGCCATGGACGATGCATAGCTCCAAAAAAAAGAATCACGTTTTTAAGCAACTCAAGAGGTCACCACTGCGTAGATGAATTTCATTATATAATGGTTGCATTGATGAAGGCCCTGTCGTGTCATAGAGAATAACCAAGTGGAAGTCTCTATGTTCAACAGAAAAGGAGTTTGAAATTACTGAACTGGCTCCGTTTCATAAATGTGTTCAATGAACTTAGCTTTTGTACTGAAAAACGGAACCTTGACGTATACCATCATCGTCAATGTAACTTTTGAACTACGACGCCTAAAAGATGCTAAACGGACCGGAAGAAAGCGCGTATAAGGAAACCATCAGAGGCAATTGGCATGCCTAGAGAAATGAACACTCCGACTGTTTCCCACGAGATGACAGCCATTTGTCGCATTTAATTTCAGCAACTAAACGGAGCACAACCAAATTCCGCTCGAGGCACGCTTTGTGTTACGCAACAAAATGTGTTTTAGTTGAGGACGCAGCAGCACATGACGTCAAATATCAATGGGGCTAAAAAGCACAGATGGAGCCGACTATGCCAGCAGCCGGTGCGATAGCTACCGTGCACGCAAATAGGTCATTTTATGGCGCAGAATAAAATCGTAATATCGTGAAATGCTGAGTTTATGATTGGAATATCACTTGTATGTTTATATAGAAAAGAAGAAACAAAACAAACGCTTTTAGCTATCACTACCTTTCGTAATGGAGTGGGCAGAGGACAGATAGGCCTTGCATCGTAGTTCGTTTTCCACTAAATTACCAACCAATATTAGTGTTTCGAACTGTAAATCAGAAACAAGAACTGATGGAAAAAAAAACAATCATAGAGATGCCGAAAAAAAATCATACAAAAGATTTTTTCGAGTTTTACAAAACGAAAAGAAACAAGTCATACGTTAGATTTTTACTGGAAATACTTTGAACTATTCAAAATGGAAAGCTTTTCGAATTCTCAACCACCCAATGTTAGAAGTAGTACGGTAGCGGAGCTCGTCCTGGATTATCGAGTCTTCCAGCCACTTCTAAGGTGGCTATTGGTGTGTACAGAAAATTTGGGAAAAAAAAACTTGAATATCGGCTGTGCATCAAGACTCGTTATACAGATACGGCACAGAAATATAAATTAAATCAAAAATATAGAAGCAGGTGAGTTCATTCTCTAAATACTACGCAATATGATGCCCTTGCGGCATTCTTAACTCCATTTTAAATTTGGATTTTATCAAGGAAGTGTTAAGTATATCAGGAAACAAACCTCAGCTAGTTCGTCGACAACATCATCCTCTTCCTCCAAATCAACATCGTCTTCTTGCGTGATTTGCTGATTTTGCTATAAATATCTAGAGTAATATCACAACTTCAGCCCTTTGTCTCCCAACACTTACAGTGGTTTCCGAAGGCTTTTCTAATTCGTATGGTCCCTGCTCGTCGGATGTTTCATAAACACTTTCTTCATCAAGGTGCATGTAAAGGTCAGGCTTAAAAAGCTCTATGCTTGATGGAAACGAAATATTTTTCTAAACAAAAATCCGCTTGCCCCCTACCGTTTGCTGGTTGTCGTCACAGGATGAGTGCGCAAGCTCTTCAACTGTATCACCACTCCCATCGCCTTCCTCACTCTCAAGATTCTCCACAGCAGTAATGTAGCCATCGAAATCGCCTTCCTACAACAAGAAATCGTTGCATACCTTACGAAATTGCTGATACTTATAGAAGGTCCTTTGAGAAAGAATGTAAGGCACGTGCTGTCTATGCAACCTGGCGCGAATCGATATCAACTTATCGCAAAGTCTGACACCAGTTCAAAGCTTAAAAGAAGCATTTCTGATTTGACCTCTACACAGCAAGTGACGCATACATATCGATCGCGCTTCTCTCGTACGCATTTTCGCTGTGTAGGCGCCGAAAACACGGCTCCCGTCGCGGACTCTGACATCTAGCTCAGGTGTTTGCGTCATTATTATAAGTATTATAGTTTATACACACTGTAACTAGTCTTTTTATCGGCCCTCAATTCACGAAGGAGATAGAAATTTTCACACATATGATTATCACCTCAAGAAGTCGCCCATCAAAAATCAACAGTTATCCAATTGTTTCACCAGGGCAGAGATTTTGTTATCCGATCCAATTCTGTCTTTACACCGCAACTCTCTATGGCAAAAGAAAACAGCCTTTTGAAGCCATCGTAAAAGCCTACCAAATGATCGCCTCCTAGTACGCTATCATATATGACACAGTCCGGAGAGCGCTCTTCAACGGTTTCAGAGGAAAAATCATCGATATCCGGCACTGACGAAAAATCACAACTAGCTAACCATCTGCTGACTGTTGGGTGATCTGAAGTGAATCATATAGATGCCTTTGAATTACTCGAACACCATGTTCTACCTTGTACCTTGATCAAGTTCCTTCTTCTTGTGCTTTAGACTGAAGCAGTTGCCCATAATGGGCCACACCCACAGCCAGGTCAATTTGATATAAACTACTTAAATTAGAGACAGCATACAGATTATTCGTGGAGCGTTCAAATATTCAAGGAGTGAACAGCCAAAGGGTCAAATACTCTCTAACAAGGAAATTTTTATGCATATTAAAAACAATGTACACGTTACGGATCTGCAAAAAATGACTTTTACATCTGAACGAATGAAAAAATGACAGTTGGTAAAATCACAAGTAGCGAATAAGCTTTACGGTAAAATGCCAGCTAAATTCCTGTGATGGTGGCATCATGAGATAAATGAATAATCAGAGAGAACCACCATGGAATCTTGCTAAACTCCGGAGATCTTGAGAAAATCAGTTCGAAGAACAAAGTAAACTTGTAAAGTGGAGAAAAAGAAACAATAAATCTGTGTCCTACCAAATTGACAATACAAGCAACAGAGACGCTACTATACAACACAACTTGTGTTAATTTTGTTAGAACATTTTTTATATAAAAATCATGACGTAGGAAATTTTTATGAGAATTACTGAGGAGTGCTCATGATCAAAACAATGAAAATGAATTGGCAATAATATCACAGATTGCATTATCTGAATCATGAAGACCAAAAACAAAGTTTCACAATGGTTAGATTTCGTTTTGAGCACAACCTTCAACTTAAAGGAATTTCACTTCATTGGAAGACATAACAAATCGTTCAGAATAAGTACAGATCAATACCCAGGATTGTAATAGGGCACAAAAAGTAAATCAAAATTAAAACGAAAATTACTGAACAACAGAAAAAATGTTTCTAATTCACTAAACGTGGGGACGCTCTCAGAAGGCCTTTATGAATGTGTCGAATTTCGGAATAAGGAAAAGGGTTATAATCAGCGCAATGTCAGCTCTTAAAAAAAAGCCACCCAACCTACCAGAAAATGAGTGGGCTGCCATGAAAGCACTATATCGAAAAACTTCAAGCCTAGAAACACCAATTTAACATGTATTGTATTATACACATTGAAAAAAAAAACAAGGAAAAGATCGAGGCAAACATGGCACGCGTGTTCTTCTCCGCCTCGTAAACATCTTTTCCGAATCCTACTTGAAACCGATGTAGGTTTTATCATGAACTCGAAGACTATATATTAAGTCACCTGTTGAGCAGAAATTTAGAAGTTATGCTCTCAAGAATATAGTTCTCGAAACAAATAAATTATTATTTCACCTCTACTTGGTTAAATCCGATGAGATGAAAGGGTGCGGTTCGTCGTTCCGTCCAGGCCTACGTAACTTGCTGTTCAACTTCGGCTCAACTAACGTTTTTATTTTAAGTGTTGCCGTCCGTTTTCGTCGGACCTTAAAAGATCTGAATTAGATGCGAATATTGCAAACTTGCAATAATAGAAGGTCTAGACTGTTGATTGAAAAAATGGACCGTTCGAGGGTTATGCTGAATGGCACAAAAAACATACGGAACAATATAATGCACCAAACATAAGAGAAATAGTACAATGCTTATTTGTTGGAATTTCTGGGTACTTAAAATACATCTTCTCTTATATAAGATGTTTATGCAATCCGCTCAATGATGAGAGAATGGGGCCAGCACAGCAAAGTTTTACATACTGACGATCGCGGGCGTTTTGGTGTATGCTGAGTAGGACAGGTTGGTCTGAAGCACGCGTGACAACGATGAAGCAGTATATACAGAATGTATCAATTCACGCTGCATAATTAAACAAGGAAATTTTGTGTGGGGTAAAAGATCTTTGCCGAACTGTAGCACACCTGACCATTTAGTAGACCACACCGTTTGTGAGTGCGAGGTATACTACACGAAAACATGGCTAAATAGGTGTGGTCCACACGATCCCACATGGCCCACGAATTGCGGGAGCATGGCCCACACTTGCCGTAAATGTGTTTAACAAGTGTTTTCTACCGTATTGGTTTCCATCCACGGTACAGCCGGCGTGTCTAGGATTGGCCGTTTAGAGTTGGCAGGAGGCGTCGCTAGCGCTTCAGCCTTCTCTTCCAAGCAAGGGGGTGTCTCAGCCCGTACTTGTGAAAAGTTTTCTGCGAATTCTGCAATGAAGGCGAAGGATTACATACGAACATCACATGCACTGTACATTAAATATCTTCGTCGAATAATTAGCAACGAAATAATAATATCACAACAACTCTACATTGCAGATACTTGAAAACGCACTGAAAAGGCGACTTTTCGACCATTTAGAGCAGAAAAAAATCACCTGTTACACAGACGTCGCGACTTCGTCCAAACAGTTCGCTACGACGAGGCCGTCTAACTAACTGCGCGCCCTAAACGTACATACTTGATTTTCGTCTCATCCAGTAAAAGGTAGAGCGTGTGGTGCGACAGTCGCTGCCGCGTACGGAAATTCCAAATTTTTCAGGGGAGGAAATCAACTTAACAGTACCGCTGAAAAAAAGTTCTAAGCAAAAGACCTTCTCAGTCAATTTTTTTCGTTCTAGAAGAGTAAAGTGAAAATATTTTGAGACGTTCGGTTCGCTTTCATGTTGGTTTACCACTTTCGGATTTATTCAAGGTCTACCACACTGAATAAACGCCAAAGGAACAGAACACGAATTCCCCGCCATCTCAAGAAAATTGGAGATTTTTCACGAATCCCTAAACTCTTCAATGATACGTATGATACTTCAATGTCAAATGTGATCCATAGAGGTTAGGAACCAATCTGCTCTATTTTAGCAGATCGAATCATGTAGCGCCATTCGTGACCCGACCTTCACCTCACTGCACTCGACATTGCTCTCGACCACAGCATGAAGAAAATGGAATAGTTCTGGAGGGCATCTAGCGAAAGTTGGCTATATAAATTTGAGAGTCGAGGAGCTATGGTGGTTTCTGCGCGCCGTCGCATCACATAATTTATGGCTGGATAGTTAGGTTCCCTTCTAAGATGAAAACGTGTCCTAAATGAAAGTAATAGTATCATGCTAATATATAAACCAGAGTTTGTTTGTCTGTCCGCTCCCCAAAAATTCGCAAGTGTCCCCCACATATTTGTGATTTTTTCAAAATCATCTAAGGGAGGAAGGGGGTGGGGCGGGCCAAGTTTGCAATGGTAGAGCATCAGCATGCGGGGCAGCAGCGTCAAGTATGCGTTTCGCAAAATTTCATAAATCCTGCTGCCTTCCCACCCTCACTATGGCTGGTGTCAGAGTCCGCGATCCGTCGCAGGTTTCGCTGATTTTCGCGATTTGCGCGATTCACGCGACGGGTCACGGAAATCACAAGTGCCCGATCAATACTGCAAGGTGTTCTCCAATCCTGCCGCCACTTCTGCTTGATAGTGATGGCTGAATGACGACTGCTCATGATTCCACTTGTTTCATATTCAGTGTTTCAAATGTTCAACACTTGCAATTTTTGCGATCCGTCGCAGGTTTCGCGCAAATCGCGTGAATCGCGCAAATCGAAAATCAGCGAAACCTGCGACGGGTCGCGGACTCAAACCATGGATGTTTTATAGTATTTGATTCTCAGACAACTTGACACGCTCAGCCTGCCCTGCAAATGCGCGTTGCGAGGGGGGGGGATACGTCTGATAAACAGTGAAACGGGAAAGTTCTCAATAAAACAACCGGGCAAATTTCTAAAAGAACAACGCTCAAAACTTTACCTTGCTCCTCTATCCTCAATTAAACTCTCTCCTCCCAAATTCGAATATGCGACCCCCGTCCGAATAAAGCAACACCCACTTTCGTGCATACATCAGTACTTTCAACACTTATTCATTCGGGAATAAATAGATCTTCGCAAATTCTTCCTGCAGCAAAATACTACCCTTCCATCAACATTGGCGGAAACACTCGAGGCTCGAACGCAAACTGCCGCATTTTTACGAGACTCAGGTCAAGATCATCCCACGAATGGGTCTGTTCTCAGCACCCGACTTTCGCGCTCGGTATCGTGCGCAGCTCAACTGGTAGGGTGAATACGGCGGAGGATCTTTCGGGGAAGTTGCGATATGGAATGCATAGAATTCACAATCATGCATGAGGAAGGATCGATATGACCTTCTGCGCCTTCTCGCTTAGAGAACCTCGTCCCACTATGTTAACTGACGGTAAAATGACAGAGAAGAGCTACCGAGCCATGCTGATCCAGGTCTCTTATCCAAGGCAGAACGATACATTCCAGCAAGATGGACATCACAACAGGATAACTAATCTTAACCCACCCCAACCCAAGGATCACGAAGACAGCAACTACTCAGATTTCTTGAACAGCGAAGCCAGTCTCCTAATTCGAACTTCGAGATATAATATTGCAAAACCGTCAGATACGTTAGTCATGCAAACCAAGCGAACACGGAAGAGCGTTTTGCCACTGCTTTTATTCGAAAACTGATCACCCGGTCCACCCCAATTTGCATTTTATCGGGGGGAATAGTTTTGTCTATCACACACTGAAAAATTTCTGTACGTCAGATTTTCAAGACGGAACGGTTCTCGCTTACCTATGCTGTCCACAATTGACAGTAACTTCAAGTTTAGCTTCAGTAAAAGACTATGAGCCAACCACAGAGCGCGTAAAAAGCGAGGCTTGTAAGTCATATCGATACCATAAACACACTCAAAGTTAAATGAAATTGGCCTATCAAAAGAAAAGTTACAGTCGCGAAAATTTCCACCGAAGACTTTTAGGAACTGCACGTACCGCGCACTTCCACGCAAATTCTTACGTCTCACAGAATAAGGATTGGAATAATTAAATACAAAATTAGACATTGAAAACCAACTTAGATCTAGCTTGCTCTAGCTCTTCGATCAACGACAACACTGTGATGTAAGCAGGGATATTATAAAATACCCCAATTACGCAAAAAGATAGACCAACAACTTACTGTTGGGGTTTCACCATCTCCTAAAGCCATGCTGCTCTCACGCGTTCCGATTTGTTCGCTGATCGCTTGCGACTTCGTAACAAGAGGTGGTGATTCAGAAACTACAGAGGGATACAATTAGGAGCAGAAGTTGCACAAGTTAATAAAAACTCACTAGAGTCGAGGCGTGGTTTGCCATTATCAGTTAATCTCTTTCGCTGGTCATCATCATCCTCCAACATCTGAGTCGCCTCTGACATGAGTTCTATGCTGAAAATTCAGCTGATCCTAGAGTAAGCCTTGAATTAATTGAAGTATCACTTACCCGAAATCTTCGAAAGCGTCCTTCAATGTCGAAGCGCTTTTATGTAAAAACGCGATCGTTCTTCTGCTGATATAACCTAACCTGTCCATTTTTCTCTGAAACCATGTCGTTACTTGAATTGTTAATGACTAAGAATATCCCAAGAAACGCCGGAAAGACTACTAAGACCACAAATTTAAAAAAAAAAAGATCAAATTGCTAATGGCATGCCAGACTACTCACTTTTATGCGTTCTTCTAGCAACGCCTCGATCCTTTCAGGGCTATTCACCTCACCACATTCTGTCATACGCTTTTTCAGCATAGCATTTTCATTTCTCAATTCTTCAATGAGTTTACGACTTTTAGCAAGCTCAATCTGTAAGAAAATTCAAATGTGACAAAAAGCTGAAAAAGAAGAAAACCGAAAGTCTGTCGAAAAGCCAACAGAGGGTTATCGCATTGCCAACTAACAGAGAAAAGTTGCGCTACAGTCAGGAATGGAACCCACTGCTAGCGCTATGGGCTCAGTGCCAACCACGTACTAGTATTACTCCTACGTGATGTCCAATCTTTTCATACCTACGCCAAATTTTCTATAACGAATTTGTAATATTTACCGTAAAATACTGAGCAAAAACAACTGCTTTTCGGTAGGAGATTCGGGTCTTCCAAATAGACCTTACTGAAGCCACAAAGTTAAGGCTTACGTTAAGCCTCGAATTCATGCCTATGCCTATGTTCACGCGTGGTCTCAGGCTTGCTAAGCGAACTAGAAACCGTATGCAGCAGCACCCAGGCAGGATGGGTCCTCAAAACTATGCGTCTCTACTCCGATCCTTGACGCACACCTTATGGACCAAAATGGGGTGAAGGGTTACATGCCTACTTGGCTTCCCTCCATATTTTCTGTCAAAAGAGCTCAAGTGAAACACACGGTTAGACCGATGCCAGACTTTGCGAAGCGTCCGCGGTCGCGTCGCGGCCAGCGAAGTTGCTGAATTGGCTGGTACCGCAACGCGACCGCGGACGCTAGCGAATCGCTCGATTCGCAAAGTCTGACATCGGCCTTATAGGGCAGCGGCCCTGGCAGCTTTTAACCTTGACGCACACGAAAGCAGCGCAATCGACGGACATCCAGGTGCCGTGAATTTGACCTAGTATTATTCCCATGCATTTCGGATATTACGCAGATTGAGGCGATACTAGCTGGGTGAGGTTTCACTAATGGTAAAGACACGTGGCAATTCTGAAGGCCTTGCACAGCATATGAGCTTGAGTTTGCACGAGAGGGGGCATGATAGGCAGTCTGTGTAGTCAACGTACGGCGCCGTACGCTATCCTTCCTCAGGTGATGCATCCCCTCCCTCGATGCTATCCCTTTGCGTCATAGGATCTGCCACACCTCTACGTTTCTATCTACCGATCACGTGCTGCAACGGTGGAGAGTTTATACATCACCCACCATACGGCATTCGCGCCGTCTCATCAGCAGGATAACGTTCCCTCGTATCTCCCAAAGTTGCAGCCTAGCTGTTGACGACTGCGGATCAAGCGAAACGCAGGGCAATGGATACGCCAGCGGCTCGAGCGATGTGCGGCGGTTCGACTGATGATCCAGCGCCGAGAGCGTGAGAAAGAGGCTAGAGTTCCCCCACCCACACTATGACTTTCACTACTTTCCCAGGTTCTCTTTTACCCCACGGTCACGATTCCCAATCTGACACGGTCTATGGATGGGCGCACGCATAGTCGGTCGTCCGACAGCAACGATCGCAACTGTCTGACTGTCTAACTGCATCTAATCGTCGAATACTCAGGCAAGTCCGACGATCGATACGCATCCAATGCTGTGCGACACTTACGAGTCGTTGCTGTCGTCCGACCGACTATGCGTGCGCCCGATGAAAGGTCTTAATTGCCACGTGACTACTTCCAACCACTAGCCAAAAAAAGAGTCGGAACACCGCACAAAAATTCGAATCCGTGATTCCGCTTAACTATCCATATTTAGCCAGATTCTCACCAACCGATTACTACCTACGCTGCTCGCTGGCTCGCTTCCTGAGGTAGAATTGCTACGGTAATCGCTGATACCTCGAAGCGACTCCCCAGTCATCCCTTGCGCCCTAGACAGCACATTTTTAGGTGGAGATGTGCATTTCATTGAGAAGAAAGGGAGAACCGCTGTGAGCATCTGTGGTAATTATTGAATGGATTTAAGACGATTAAAAAGAAAGTTATCGGATAGTTTTAATTTTTCAGAGTACTTCCGTCACAGATTAATTAACACGACAACAGACAGCGTTGCTTACCTCAAGATTGTGAATTTTCAACACTAAGGATTGATTTGTTTTTGCGTAGTGATCCCTCAGCATATCTAAAGCATTAAATTACGATTCGCTCTCTTAGTTATAGAATTAACTAAACGTTATCAAAACTAGTTCATATGCCTTAATTCCTGGAAAGGGATCTCTAGGTAAACGATTCCGAGTTGTTACGGATATTCTTCTAGATATTCTTCTTCTTTTACTTTTTAGATTTACACAATTTGGACAGTTATTTCTAAATTATTTTTGGATCAGAATTCAGTTTCGATATGTAAGCGCTGTGCTTGGCTAGGATTGGCTCATTATTCTTAAACGTCATACGGCTAGGCTTGTGCCAGAGTCTGCGATCCGTCGCAGGTTTCGCAGATTTCGCGCGACGGATCACGGAATCACAAGTGCCCGATCAATACTGCAAGGTGCTCTCCAATCCCGCCGCCATTTCTGCTTGATGGTGATGGCTGAATGACGACTGTTCATGATTCTACTTGTTTCATATTCAGTGTTTCAAATGTTCAAATGGGGCACTTGCGATTTTTGCGATTCGCGCGAAACCTGCGACGGATCGCGGACTCTGACACCAGTCATCCAATGTAAAAAGAAAAACAGTCGAATGAAGCAGGTTGGCTTATTAGTTTGGAGAAATAACTTCTTTTTCTAATCTGCTTACGCGGAGGGCTTTTTTTCTTTTCGCGTCGAGATCGACTGAGCTTATTTACGCCATTTGCATATTTTGGATGTGAAATAGCCCCCCCCTACGCAAGCATCAAACAAACGAATAAAACGAAAATAAAATAAAAAATACTACAGAACACGAATTAGAGAACGCGCCTGTGATGAAAGCCATTGCGGAACTATTGGAATAGTGGATTCGGTATCTACGCATGAGTTTTGAATTGGTTATTTCGAAAAGATAGGAGCGAAAAGAGGAACCTCTGGAATTTTGATCAGATAAAGCTCTCCTCGATGAAGCCTCTTCAGAGTTCCGTGCTTTTGTTCCAAAGTAGGATGCCAGGTCATTCTTCGTAACACCTTGAGCCATCTACGTGGTGCACGAACCTGTGAATATTATTAATGAAACAAAAATCGAAGGCAAGATACATAATGTACACGAAGCATCTAATTTAGGCTCCACACATAGGAATATTCAAGTTGTTTTAGTCATAGGAAGAATAATACTATTCAACTCGCTAATCAATCTCAAAATAAACTTGAACTAGAAAGCTTGAGAGTTAGGAGGCGGTTCAAAGCTCCTACCAGCAGCGCGGATCTGTGGAGCCGTGTTAACGAGGACTAGAGCAGAAAGTGTCTAGTGAACCTAAATACTTTGCACTTTAAAATTGATCCCACTGGATTTGTGAAGGGATTGCTGTGGAACGCATTCGTATCTACGTCTTTTCAAACAGGATGTGTAGACGCTGAAGGCATAAGAACGACGTTAATACGAAAACTTTTCGGAGGTTTTCGATTCAAGGTTTTTATACAAATACACTCAAACTCTGAAGCCTTATCTGGAAGCGTTGCACTCTACGGTTCAGTGTACGAGACTAATATCATACCTGAAAGTAACTATAAGACGTGAGCCACCAAAAAATCCGGTTGTGCTGATTTCATCTTAGGTTCGTCAGCCTTGTGAAAGAGAGCCCGTCCTGTGGTGAAGAAGGTATACTCGATATCCGGAGTTGGGGTAGGCGTGTCACCGGAAGTGACGTGCACTTGATAGAAGCTATGTGGATAAGCTGCTTCCAACATACATCGCTGGATATCAGCAAAGCATGCTGGCAACAGCTTATCCACGCAACTTCTATCAAGTGCACGTCACTTCCGGTGACACACCTACCCCAACTTTCGGATATCGACTGTAAAAACGCGCACTGTCATGAATGTGTTAAGGCCAAAACCGCCCCAAAAATTGTCTGGATACTCAATCTTACCGCTATATCTTCGTACCTGGCACAATCATTACGACTGGAACTTTTTCGTCATTCCGAATAGTTGTACACTATTCAAAACTAAACACTAAAGTATATGGCACTCGTCCCCAAAGCGCTGGCAATAGCATATCTGGTTGAGTTTGCAACGACTCGCATTCTGCACCTCACGTTGAGAACCGATTCTCAGGCCAAGTGAACGTTGAACAACAGACGACGTAAACTTTCAGCGAATGTTGATTTTAAGAGGGTGATTGATGGACATCGTCTAACAAACAAACAAACAAACAGACTCAATCAAATTCCAGTTGCAGCATAGAAATGCTCTATGAGCAGTTCCAAAGGAGAAATCAAGTCTTGAACATTTTTTGAATGGAGGATTCAAAACGCAGAACTTAATCGTTTCCGCTCGGGATTCCTCTGAAAATTTGATTTTTTGTTTGTTCTATACCATTTTCGGCTGAGCTGCTGCTAGGTGCAAATTTTGTTTGCGCGGACTTATCATAAGTTCGGTATGACCAAAAATATACGAGATCTGACCAAATCTCCTTGCAAAATCATTAAAGAACACTTGACAAAATTAACACTTTGTAATAAGACGCAGGAATCCCCGCTGACCACAATTCCAATGCTCCCCATTTTAATAAGTCTGGATATTTTTGGTCCCTTTTTGTGAAGCATCCAAACGGCAATCATTTCCACGTTAAGCACTAAATTTGATGCATAAAATTTTCTACTCAATACCCAATCAATATGCAGCAGAACAACAAACATAAAGTCTTAATTCCAACGAACAATTCCCGAAAAGAAGGTACCACCATGCTCTTCGACTGTAAGCTGGTTGTAAAACGCCTCCGAATTTGATCAAAACCGAAATTGTAGAGCTCAGCCTCTACACTCTAAGCCAGCAATTTACAAATCTAAGCCAAGTAGCAGAAGGAAAAGGTCACAGCGTGAATTTGTTGACGAATTCAAACAGTCAACCGCGCCACTACAACAAACTCGTCCTTTCTGTGCCACACAAGAAAGCCGTCGATGGACTACTTGAACTCAGCCCTTTAAAGCAGCAATCCCAGACCAATTCGCGGGGTAAAAATCGTTGATAATGTAGTTTTAGGTTAAAAGTTGACCGACAGTAAAGAAAAAACTGAAGAAAAACGTCGAACAGGGACTTAGACAGGGACTCCCCCTCTGCCACTCAGCAATGGAGGAAGACGCGTGTTGGACGAGTTGTCTGAACCTGCCAATACGTCGAACGAAGCATGCCCTGAAAAGTAATTCGGAAGATATAGCGATCATTCGAAGATTGCCTTCCCCGCGGGGGAAACAGTCAAAAATCTGAAGCACCTACATTTATTGCTGCAAAGGACTGAATTGAAACACTCCGTGTGGTCCCAAAATGTCAAGAAAGCCCAGGTCAGACGATCGACACGTATCTGATGCTCATGGCTCTTTGCAACCCTGATCTCACTACATGTGAGTCTCAATGAGTTCCATGCCTATGAGCATGAAACTCAATGTAAAAGTTTTTGTACTAGTTGAACAGCGACGAAGTCTCGCACGTTTGACGCCGGGTGGCACGAATTATCACGTAGATCCTTTCATCAATTCTCTTGTTGTAGTGCTGACATCCGGAACATCCGTTTTGGTATGTGCATATGTTGTGCTTCACGTTGCTTCTAAAGAACACGCAGTCAGCGACCCAGAAACGAGAACCCCGACTTTTCGTTACACACTGTACCGCGTTGAACTGTCTATGAGGGAGCATGCATAGTCGGTCGTCCGACAGCAACGATCGCAACGGTCGCACAGTGTCTGATACGCATAGATTGTCGAATACTCAGGCAATGTGATGATCGATACGCATCCAATCCGTAACGATCGTTACGATCGGACCACTAATACTCATGCACCCTGAGGCCATGACAGCTGGCCACGCCTCTAACTTGTACGAGTTGCTCCTCGCGACGGCAAGCAGTCACCTGTGAGCGTCTATGAATCATAGCACTATTGTGGGGCGTTGGGTTTACCGTCTGATTACATGCCTCAGATCCTTTTTCTTGGTCTGTAACCTTAATCATTGTTTGCATTCATCTAACTAATATGCAGCTTCGCTGTAAGCACAGAAGTACTTGAGTAGACATGGACCGACGGTCATTTGGGGATGCATCGCCGTGAGTTTTCAGTGGCGTAGTTGTCAGCATCGTTGCATTTACATCATGCATATGATGCTTAACCACACACTGGATACGATTATAGAATCAGAAATCCGGAACTGAAAACGATCATGCTTGTGAATTTACAGCTTCAGTGTCAGTTGTCAAGTACACGTTGCATCTTTCGCAATGTTTTTCCAAATAAATTGTTCACGTAAATGTGAGAACAGGTTCATTCCTGGGTGTGGTTCACTAGGACAGAAAGCGACTTTTTCGCGTTTCGCAGCGCGAAACATTGTTCGTTGCGGGAATCTCGGGTCCACTGATGATTCGCTGCGGGAACCTCGGGTCCACTGATGATCAGCGGTGGACCTGAGGTTCCCGCAGCGGAAAATGTTTCGCGCTGCGAAACGCGAAAAAGCCGCTTTCTGTCCTGATGAACCACACCCCTCTTTCCTTGTGAAGTGGTTTTGCAAATTTACATCACTACTCTCTTGTGCCTCAGCTATCCTTCATTTCTTGTGTTTTTGCCTTATTAAATGTTTTAGTGGCAATGCCTCCTCCACCTCCTCCTCCACCGCCGCCTCCTCCAGCAGCTTTACTGAGTTCCGGCGCTTCTTCAGCTCCAGTTGTGAAGAAACCGGTCGCCTTATTGGCCGACATACAGGTCCGCTTCGCAATCATTCTGTTTTTTCATGATTTGAGATATCGATACCGACCTTTCCAGTTACTGTTTTGCTTATTTTTTTAAAATTTAATATGCTTGGGAATATTCTGCTTTCTAGGAACTTTCATCAAGTCAGCGCAGAGATTCATTTTTGAAATACACATGGTATTGTTTCACCGTCCGGGCTAACCAAGTCTTCCATCCCTCCGGGGTCGGTTAATTGGTACCAGACTTGTCTGGGAGGATAAAAACACTGACTTGGACAGTCATTGTATAGGCCACATCGCATTCAAACGCCACTACGAATGTACAAATGGAAGTAGAATGCGTGCCGCATCCCAAAAGGGATTGATCAACGGCAAATGCTTTATCCTTGTTTTTATTCACTGTTTCTCCTCTGGGCGCTCTTTAGTAGTACACAAAGACTTGAAATGTTATTCACGGTTATTTACGGTTACGGTATTTGTTAAGTTCTTCAATGATTATCGATTTAATGAATTTTTCCCTCTGCGGTTGTGTAGAACTCGTATATTCGATCAATTCTATCAATTCCCTTCCGCGGTTTCTCCTACTTTCCGAGGTCCAAACTGTAAACCGTTTTTGTGGACGTGTCTAAATTATACACAGATACAATAATAGCCCACGATCTATTGGCTTGTTCTCATAGTATAGGACTACCAGCGAAGTAATCGAAATATAACAACATTCAACTAGCTACACCCAATCTGCCCGTGAGCGAGAGGAGAACCATGATCGAGATAAAGAAATGAGTCCAGACGTGAGCTTCAACATACAAAAAGTGAAGCCTATGTTTTTTCAAGCCGTTATTTAGGCAAGTCTTCGTGTCAGTGTTACATGATTATTTCATTTTCCTCTCGCGAAGCCCAACGATCGTATTACAACATTTCTTCACATATAGCTCAATGCCCTCGCAAACATAATACATTTCGCCTAGCACTGTTCGCTGCCCCTCGAAAGATGCCGCGCAAACACATAAAGAATTTCCTAAACTTCGAAATCGCGCTCCGCGATAGTGTCTAATCATGTAATCAGCTATTCCTTAAGCAACTTTCGCAGGTTTTAAGGGCATGTACGAAATTGAGACCGAGCGATTTCTATGATTCCTCGCTTTTTCAGAAGTTTAAAACCAACCTTAACTTATAGGTGTAACCTTTTCACTGAGGTTGGTGAAACTTTTAGTTTCACACTAAGAAAATAGTATAATGTTACAATCAAAATATTTATAATTCACATCATAACAAACATTTGCTAATGTCTGAATTTGAACTAATTATGGATAGCGTAGGAAATGAAGGCTGTGAAGATAATCATCTCAAGATTATCGGTCTAGTCTGTTTCATGAGTGAAAATGTGTGCGCATTTGCGCTCATGCCTGTAGTCATGGTAAACCTATGTTCCGGTGTATTTCTAAATTCGCTTTGAGATCTTATCAATGAAGTTGCTTCACCGCTGCTGTGATCTCCATATGCTGCTGATTCTATAGTTCATAAAATTTGATGCCTTGGGCATCTACTTTATCTTTTACCCCAACAGAAGTGCATTTATCATGAACGAAATGAAGAGGTTGTAAAATTGCGTTTTAATGGGACGAAGTAGGATGGGAAGTGTTGGGATACTTTTTACTATTCACCCATATTTTTCAAGATTACCGTCGGATTGGTTCGCATTGATGTTTTATCTTGGGTTTTTTAAGCGTTTTTGTGACCGATCTTCTTCCATGTTTTTTTTTGTTACTTTGTGACTAAGAAGAAATTTTCAGAAACAATCTCTTCTTCCTTAACAAGCCTATTCTTTCCACTTTACTGAGTTATACCGTGCGCATATTAGTGATTTTACCGAAAACTGTTATATAGATTTCATGTTTTTTTTTCGAGATTGTGACATCTTGTGTATATGCCTTGCAGGGTGAATAACGGTTGAGGAATTCCTCGACCATGGCTCTCTACTGTGCGAGAGTAGTGTCGAGAGTGAATGAATGCGCGGAGAGCACAGACGGCTCGCGGGTGGCGAGAGTGAGCATCCGCGTGGGAGAGCGTGAAAGAAATCCTCGACGAGCCGTTATCGTTTCCTCAGGCGATTTTCATCCTGATGCCTTATTGTTTAATCATGCGTTTGTTGCGAAAGAACAACTATAGAGTACAATTCGTGGTCTTGAGGACCCGTGTTGAATCTTAATTCTTGGCTTGAAGCTTGTCTACTCAGAAGTCCCATCATGCTCCATAAATATGAGTGTTTGGCCAGTGTCTGCTTTAGTGCAAAAATTTGAACCGGATTCGGCCCTTAAAAGATGAATTGTTTGGAACGTCGTTGTAATAAACTATACCATTGTCACATCCGGTACGGCGTGACATCATTAGTGTCTATCTTTTATGTTTGATTTTGCTAATCTTTATTTTCCCGCTGTTCTATTGGTCTAATATTGAGCTTTTAGAAAGGAACTAAGCTCAGAAAAGTTACTACAAATGATCGGTCTGCACCATTAGTTGGAGGAAAGCCTAGCTCTTCGTCACTGGGAGCGTCTTCGATCACTAACCAGCTGGAAAGGGAGCCCAAACCAGGTTTATTTTGCCTTTAGTCATCAGCACTTACACTTAAATACTTTATAAATTTTGTGTTTCGGTTTTTTAGGTTCTGGTGGTCGTACGTACGGTGGTGGCAATGGCGCTCCAATGAGTGGTCTCTTTGCAAATGGGCTTCCATCAAAACCCAGTGAAAACAAAATCCGAAGGGCCAATACATCGGTCACTCCAGCATCTACTACATCTCCACCACCTCCTCCTCCCATACCAACATCAGGTTTGAAGAATTCATTTGCGTCGTTCCTTGATGGTTAAAGTGAAGAGACTAGAAGATAGTTCGAATTGGTTATTTCTTCTAAACCTTGGTCTATGATAATCAAAGCAAACTATGTGTTCGGTACTTAACTGCGCTGCTCAGGTTAGAATGAATTGTTCCCTCATTGTCTTGATGGGAAGGCTGTGCAGTGCTGGAAGACGGCAGTGTTAATGTATCGATGATTAGAAAACACGACTAAATTGAAGTGTCTAACTTTCTCGAACTGGATCGGTGACTGTCAAATGTCATAATTTGAAGTGATCAAATCAATCATATGTAACTCGTAATTATATTATCATCTATTTGGACGCTTATTTTGAATTTGACTATTTTAGGTCGAAATTTCCCATCTAGCAGTATTGGTTCTGCGCCTCCACCTCCATCTGTGAAACCTTCAGAATTAGCTGTTTCGAATAAACCCTCTCCTCCACCTCCACCTGTACAAACTGTAAAACCAGTTGTAAGTTTTATCGTGATTTATGTGGTTTTTTATCAGTCCAACACGAAAATTATTTTAATTAGATCAACTCTTCCTCGAACAGTCGCGATCAGTTCAAAACGATGCGACCTGCGAAGCCTGACTCGAACCGTATTAACTCTGGATTGCGGAGAAGTGGTAGCTCTGAGGTCAGTTGCGATCTTATTCATAGTTAGTTTGATAGGATGATCTTTTATGTATTTTTTTGGTGTATTGCTGTTTTTGTGCGGAATGACGTGATTAACTGAAATGAGATGAAATTAAGTGTGTCATAACTCGAAGTGTCATGTTGACATAATGTGTCTTTCTGACATTAGAACATCATAGGACTTTTCCTCTCGTGAAAGCACCCCGGTTCGAGCACCACTGACACGCCCAAGTGTCCCACCACCCGGCAGACCGTCAGCTCCTCCACCGCCTCCACCTATAATAAAAACTAATGGTAGCCACACTCCAGAGCCACCTCCACCACCGGCTGTTCCACCAGTTGCTTCAGCTCTTCCTAATAGGTACATTTCACATTTTTTTCTTTGTTCCTGATTGCATTCGCAATTCTGCCTTCTACCTCAGTTTATACAATAGTAATTGATATGGTATTTGCTTTAAGATTTGGCAGTTCTCCTGCTATGGGCGTTCGATCAGAGGAGAGTGCTCCACCTCCTCCTCCAAGGAGTGCATCTAAAGCTGGTAGTTCCATTTTTTCTCCTCCTTCTCTGGCAACACCCAAGTTCACAAGCAAGGATGCTCATCCTCTTGACCGGTGGGTAAAGTTATTCCACATATTGATTTATTTGCTTCTACTTTCCTTTCAGTCCACTAAAAGTGGAACAATAGGGCAGGTATTGATATGTAGGTGAAACTCGACGAAAGCTCTGTGAGCTGTATGACTTCATGTATGAGCTCTTGAGGATATCATCGAAAATTTGTCAACATGGCTGGTTTAGGCGCGCAGTATTCGTTACGCTCAAAAACTTTGTGCGAGTGCCGCCAAGTAAAAGTTCAGTCTCACCACCATATATGGGGGTTTGGGTGTTTGCAGAAATTTCCAAATCTGGAGGCCAGTTGCTATCGTTAGTTTAGCAAAATTTGTTAACTCGCCAAATGCATATTTCACGTTTATCCCACCAAGTACCGAGTATTGTCACTCATCGGAATATCTCAGGAATTGCCCAGGTAAATTTCCATGAAGTTAAGCACTGAACCGAATTTTAATTCATTCTAGTATGCCAAATAACGTCGATAGGCAAAACTAAACTTAGATATGCTATTGATAGTAACGATAACCTTCAACAGAAATATGTGAAGGAGATTAATGGTGCCTGAGACTCATCTCCTCAAATAGCTTTGCACGAGAATCCCCTCCTAGTTTCTCCGATGGTCATGAAATTAACGCTACAGGAAAATACTCACTATCCAAAAAGTGAGAGGTGCAAGTTTTTTTTCCCGCTTGGAGCGAATCGTTTTACCTACAACTCAGTATCCTGATGATCTCCTAGGAGAACAGAAGTTAATAACCAGAAGTAAAGTATCGCTGATTTTTGTTCGCACTGTGATACATTGATTTCGAATTTGCGGGGTTTCTTCTTTCCGTAGTCTTTACATCTTTGCATAATCAATAGTAGTATATTTTGTAGCAGAGAAGAAATGCCTCTGCTTACGTCATCTTTTCAGTTTCGTTTTCAAACCACTGTCAAGTCTTCCGCCTCCGCCGATTCCTTCACAAGGTCGTGCTTATTAATCACTTATGGTCCCGGGATTATGATTCTGTGCCTTCGCCTAACAACTTTGCTTAGCTATTCATATCTTGGCAAATACTTATTATAATCGGATTATACCAACTATAAAGCAATACTAATCCGGGTGTGGGTCGCTAGGACAGAACGCGACTTTTGCACTTTTTGCAGAGCGCAAGCTTTTCCCGCTGTGGGAACCCTAGGTCCACCCCAAGAGTGCACCGGGTGCCGCAGCAAAAAAGCTTCGCGCTGCTAACGGCGGAAAGGTCGCGGTCTTTCCAAGTGGCCACACCCTACTATTATAATTATTCCACACAGTTTGTCAATATTCGCTTGTTTGCTGTGCATTTGAGACAAAAACTTGTATCTATTACCCTTTTAACTGAATACTTCTCGCTACCATTTACAGATGATGTTTATTTAAAGCTTTCTAGTCGTCCTTATAGTGAAGTATAGTTAGTGCCTTTCAATCGAAGTGTAGTTCTTGCTGTGATCAGCTTGTTGAATTACTTGGTTCTTTTGCATGCTTAGTACGACGCTTCTAACTTTTACATTCAACTACAGGCAGTTATCTTTTGATTTTGATTGTACTGAAACTATTTGCTGATTTGTATGAATAAATCTGTCGAATTATGTAAGAGTTTTCTCTTCTTTGTTCATGGTTGTTGTCCTGTGTTTCTCTGTGTTCAGGAAAGTTGACTTCGAGGAAAACTAGTTTTTTTGTGAATAGAGATGGCAAGTGGGCGAGGAGCCGGTTCTGATTTGGTCCAGCGGCTAAACGCTGTTTCCGAAGTTGAGAAGTCGATTGGGAATCTTCTACGCCATGCACAAACATGCATTTCGGAATTATCCAAAGAGAAGCAGATCAGCAAGGTTAGAATTTTCGATGATTACTCACGCCTAGAGTATTAGGCGGAATGTGAAACAAAATGTGTTAGAAACCAGAATGACATGTCTTTTTTATTACCGATGCGAATCATCACTTAACTGGTAAGTAGAGACGATTTTGGCGATATTTACATCAATGAAGAGCATCGCCATATGATGCGATGACCCATATAAATTAATCGTGATCGCTTTACCTAGCTAGATTATTTAAAGAACTGGCTGTAGGGTGATCTACTAGCAAGGTCTTTAAAGTCATGCCTTGCTTTTTTACAACGGGTTTTACTTAATGTGTAAAAGAAAGACTTGGATGGGACATTGAACTCTGCTTCATCTTCCTGAATGTCTCTCTGAACGCCAAAAAGTGACGAAAGATCGGTTTATGGTTATTCCCTATGGTGACAAAGTAATACATGTTCAGTGGACGCTTGCGTGTTGTTGCGAATTGGTACCCTTGGAAAAAAATTAAATAATGATGCCTTGTATTTATAGGGATCATCAGTAACCTGCAGTGGAGGCCAAAAAGAGTCACTCCCTACCACATTTAAAACGGAATTAATTACATTTTGATGAATTCGAACCGAAAGGTCTTAACTGGAAATTGAAGAGCACATTGCAATCTATCGAAAAAAAAACTTCATAAGGACTTTTTACCTGGCGACGTCACAATTTTACCGCGGAAACATGTTCTCGATTCAAGCTCAGCGAGGTACTTGATGGATCGTAGACCGTACTACCTTATCTGAAACGCTGGTCAAAAGCGGTCTTGCACATTCAAAGCTATGTCTCTAGGAAGCTATTCACCAGTTAATCGATTGAAATTATGTAGCAGCTTCAGGGTGGAGCGATTACTGTAGGCCTCCTTGAGCTCGACGGTGATGGACAGATGACGTCATATTCTGAAGACGGGGAGAGGAGGGCGGCGCAGTGGGTCTGCTTTTGCTCATGAATATCCGCCGTATCACTTTCACCAACGGCGATACCCTTTGCGTCAGAAAGTTTGATGGTGTGTACGGGCGAGGTGACTTTTATTCATAGCACCCTCTCCCTCTCCCCTCTGTGTAATAGTGGGGATCATCAGCAACCATACGATTTTACCAGAAACATTTCAAAAAGGTATGGCGGCTGATTTTTTTCAAGCCCTTGGTGGCTTCAGGTGGACCCTGATGATGAGAGAATTTTGGGCTCCCGCTCGAAAACTTTTGCGCCGTGATAAGCGAAAAAGTCGCTTTGTGTCCTAGCGTGTTCACACCTCCGTATTCCCTTCCTTCCACCGGCTCAATGTGTGAGTCATAATTACATGGGAAAAGAGGAAAAGTTCAGAGACTTGAGGTCCAATGCACCGAAAGGGGTTTAGGGAAATTTCATAATTAGAACGGGAACTTTAATTGCTTTGCTTTGCTCATGCTTGTATGATATTTTGTTCTTTTACACAATGCTCTCTTTACAGACAAAAATGGAGGAGTCATCTCAGGCCTTCAAGAAAACTCTGACTCAAGTCGAAAAGGAACTTTCTGAACAAATGCAATACCTGTCGAATGTTTGCGTTGGCTCGGCTCACCAAGGTTCTTCTTTTTCACCTATTTTTACTTGTTAGGGGGCAGATAGCAGACGTGGAGGTCGTGGGTAAACACGACCATCTTTGCACTCTTTTCTTCATCTGGCTCATCAGTTCGGCATCACTTGGTTCGAATAACTTGGTGAAACGCAATCCGGCGTCTCTTACGTGAAATCTGTATCTGTGGTGACGCAACAACTATGCACAGTTGCAACTGCGGATTACAGATCGATAGCTCTTTGGACATCCGATCAATTGATTGGGTTATCTAAAAAAAAGGCTTACACTTCAGTAATCACGAATTTTTAGGTTCTACCTTTGCATCTCAGCAAAATATCACCTTAGCAGAAGCAACCGAGTTGGATCTTCATCGAGAACTTATCAACATTATTGACAAACATTTTGGTGAAACGGATATTTAACAGCCTTTGTCGTAGCGCTGACTTTGGGAGCAGGTTTTTCGAATGTCCGCCGTTATTCTGTACGCTTTAATTTGTTAGTTAGGAATTGAGGCCGAAGCCAATGTTTTTTTTTGTGTCGAGCGAGCTTTCATGAGATATGATACTATGCCTCCACAATCATGAGTTACGTCGGTTGGTGCTTCAAGACTATAGGGTATCCGACAGGAGGTCCACCGCGCGCAAGAAGACAGAGTCAGTGGACGAGTCGCAGCGCTACTGTGGTGATTTCGCGTCAAGTTAATAGAATGTACCATTGTACGTCCTACATCGCACATCACACGCTGCAACTCGTCCACTGACTGCCTTCTTGCCGCGCGACGGGCCACATGTCTTATACCCAAAACAATATATTATCTCGGACGGAAACCTGTATTTTGGTATTTGTGAAAGCCTTCAATGACTCGCGTAGGCAGCATTTTCGCATTTTCAGTAATTCATACTGAACAGTGTGCGTTAGCCATCGCAAAGCGAGCCTTCTCGAAATTTGTTGAGCTTAGATCAAGACGTTCAAAAACGGTACCCACGGTTTTTGACTTCAAGCTTCAAAGACACCCTAGCGACTCAAATAATCGTGTTAAATGGAATGAAAACATTGCAATCTCCACCCGCTTTAAAGGGCTTTTGTAATGTTGTAATGTTTATGGGGCCTAAGCATTACAATCTCGGTAGTACTGAACCTCTGGAGACGATAAGGTCGGCAAAAGTCGTTTCAGAATCACATGTATTTCGGAGCGTTCGTTTAGAGGCAGATCCCCAGAGCACAAGGGATAGTAGTGCGATGTAGGGTCAAGCAATTTCGTTGTGAAGATGCGCTGACACCCACTCTAACCATACCTACAAACGCTCACTAAACCATGGGGTATGCGGGAACACAAAGATACCGGCAGCGGCTGCTGAGAGAACACAGTTCTGCCAAAAACAGATCCAAAGATGATGCATTCGAAATCGGAACTGCGAGTATTCTCTGGACAATCTGATGTACTGATAGAAGACTTTACTAGTATTCTCTTACCTCCATTTTTTTTGCTCCATATGTTGTTGTCGTTGTTATTGTTTCATCGAATCTACATGTTTTAAATACAGCTGCGCGCAGCATTCCGTGCATTCGGCACAAGTCGAAATATGCAAATAATGAATAAAGTGTCATTTTCTGTGATGTTGGTATGCCTGTCGAGGTTCTTGCCTTTAAATTATTCAGATCAAATCTAAAATCCATAGCATACAGATTGTAATTTTCCCATGTTTCATTTGGGTTGCGCTATTTCCTAACACGTGAAGCTTCATCTTTATGCTCTTGAGGAGACTTGGCTGCCTTGCAGCTTTCACTGATCACACGTCTAATTAAAGCTTATGTAAGCTGTAATCGAGTAAGCTACGGGATGGATACACTCGCTGTGGCGCACCCTGCTGTTTGCCTGGCACCTTTGCTGAAGTCGCTTATCCCGAGCTGCATTTGTACTTCTGTCAGAATGGTTCTTACTGAAAGGCGAAATCCATTCCATCCAATTCATCGTTTGAGGGGAGCTTAACCAGTTCGACATGTCACATTTCATGTGACATATCGAACTGGTTAAGTATGAAATTCTCACCTTTGACCTCTAATTAGTTTGCAGGACCTGGTAATACATCAATAGTGTTTGAAGTTTGCCACATTAGTACCGTTTTATTTTTCATTTTTTGCACTTTTGCGTTCGCATGTAAAAATATCAACGATATTTTGATGTAGTAATTCCCTCTCTTGTTTAGTTTTCAATGGAGTGCCATAGTATTTTCTCTCCTTCTACTTCGAGAAATGCAAATTTACGCAAAAGAAGGCAAAGTATGGTTTAACTTCCATATTTGATAAGCTGTTACTAACAATTTATATTCAAGGACCGTACAGCAGTGTGCCTAACGAAATCACTGAAGAAGTTACTGAGGCTACGCCCGGAATGCAGGTAATTTGAGTTTGATAAATGTTCTATCGTTTCGAAGTAATAGTTTTTTTTGAGATTCCTGTGGGTGTGGATGCAAATCGGCACACAGCAATCCAGTATCACAGAGAGGAAGTACCACATGCTTATATCTCGGAAGTGGCTAGAAGATATGCTGAGAAGATTCGCAAATCGGTATTTAGTACCAGCATTACTTCTTAAGGCATACAGTCTTCTGGAAAAGACTGATGGTGAGGAACCACGGCTGGTGTACAGCTGAGCCAAAGGTTGCTTGCCATGGGCGGTTTTCGTTAACATTGATCAGGTGCTGCTCAAACGTGGCGGCGTTCACGAACATCCACCAATGGAAGGCACGTGTTGTGCCTTCTACCCTGACCCAGTTGGCCACTTCAGGTCCAGCGATTGTTGATACTTTTGCTATGCATTGCTGTGAGCTTACTCGAACCACTCTGACTGTCATTGTTTAGAAGGAACGTACTCTTCAATCGGATTTTGAGAATGAATCTACTTCTCTCCCGCTGATAAAACAGAGATTACGTCGTCTCATTGGTGAATGCGATATTGAAAGAATAACTTGCTGTGTTCCCATGTGTGGCCGCGTATTCAACTCCGTACAGGTATTCATATAAGCAATAGTTTAAGTAGCGAAGTGATTTCCAGAGCTATTTTTCCAGGTTCTGGCATGGCATATGTCCTACTCTCACCACGATCTGGGTCTCAAGTCTACCTATGGCAATCTTTGTTTCGTCTGTGGTATTCGCATGGATAGTGCTAAGGTTAGGGACTCTTCATTGGGCTCACGTAGACTTACTCTTTTTATTTTAGGGTAAAACTATTCATTTGATGAGTAAGCATAAAAACTTATGCTTGTCTCATAATGAACAATGCATGTACCAACGTCTACCGGTCATCTCCCCATTGGCTCCTGCGGCGATTCGGCTCTTGCAGTTTGCTGATGAGAGGTGAGCAGACACTGAGCTTAACAGCCTTTTTTGAGTTTATAGCGCAGGTGGGAGGCTTCGGTCGCACTGTAATGTGTTGGCCAGCTAATCACTACTTTAAATCTAGCTGCACCGCTCTTCACTGACATAGGCTGCGGATATAAAAAGCAGATAGCCATGGCTGACACTTTCACTGGGTGGATCTAGTTCGAATAGGGTCAACAATGGCGTTTAGAACAATTACCTTCAACTATGGCACGCGTAGGATTCGCAATGCCTTTTCATTTGGTTTCCATGCTGCGAAAATGCGTATATTGAAATTGTGCTACTACTGCTCACATTGCATACTGAAGGATCGCGTTATCGATATCTCCGAGTGGGAGAGAAGTCGAAACTTCTACACTTTTACAACAGAACGTGACTTTTTGTGAACGACCTTTTGTTGGGTAGACAATTTTATTTAGGTGTGTTTGGATTAAAATCGCTAAGTTACAAATGCAGGTATAAGCTTCATTCTTACAAAGTGCAAAGAAAATTTGATATGTATTTTTTTCCTTTTGGTGGGTCAAGCTTTCTTAGAAAATTTTTTGTGCAGAGCAATAAGAAAATTTGGGGTCGTAAAAATATCTGTGAACTTGTGCTGCTCCGAAAGTTTACCATATCCAATTTTTTTGTAAAGGAAAATCCGTGTGTATTGCGAAGTCAATCTTTCCATTTCATGACGCATCTTTTTGTCCAGAGTCCTCCAAATGCTTTCATTCATTTCATGCTTCATCACTCGAGGTCCGCTGCCTCACTGAAATAGCATAGCGAAAATGGCGAACATATTGGTTTATGTAGTTCAAATGAAGTTTACCAACTCCAAATTTTCTCATTTCCATACGGAAGAAAGTAAAAAAAAAACGAGACCGATATAAGTAGATGTTGAAGAGAGATGCTGATATATAATACTAATCTGTGTTGTCTTCTTGAACGACGACGGAGATAACAAGCGGTCGCTTTTGCCGTTGACGCCATCTCCCTATTCGTTGTGTCAACTCAGTTTCCCTGTCCCAGCAGACACCCACCTGTCCTTGGTCATACTCAACTTCAGTGATTACGGTGGTGAAGGGTGGTGCGGTTTTGATAACGCATTGAACGCCATTGGTGGACTAGACCCTTTAAAGCACGAAGGGGTGCGGTTGGGACCGCCTCTTAACACGTTGACGACAACGCGCGTTTTGGGTTTTTGCGCCGCGTGGGACCACGGCGATTTTGCAGGCGCCGCCGCCTCACATCAAATCCGTGAATTTTGAGCTTTAAATACCCAAAACTCGGATGCAACAAAATGTTTAGAATGATATTCGATGTGTCAAACTTATCAGAAGGGACAACTGTAAAAAATCGATCGAATTGACGTTTTCTGGCGATGAAAGGCAAGTTTCAGTTGCTTTTGCTGCAGTGAACCTCAAAATTATTTTTGACGCGGTTGCTCCACTAAAAACATATGTCTTGCTATATGTGTGGGTCTGTACTTACTTCTACTGCTCTTTTTATGACCAAGATTATCAGAATATAAAGGAAACTAGGAATGAACACAATTGGGAAATTCGTAGGGCTTAGAAAACCTTCGCTAAAAAGGAGCATATTCAACCATTCAATGAACCTCGCCGTGTCTAGTCATATTATGGTGTAGTCTATGGAATAGATGCAAAAAAATTAGAAAAGAAGTAGCGCATGCGCGAAAAAAATAAATATTTTGTGTGTGCAGCGCATGCGCTGCACACGGTCCCACACGGTGCTCAAGGTGTGATGCGCATGCGCTGCACAATGTCGTCAACGTGTTAACAGCCTGCCACCAATACATTTGATGACGGTCATCAGACCTGCAACTTCCTCCAGCCATCCTCATCACTGCCTTTCAGCTGCGCTTCCTACGTCTTGTTTAGTAATGCAAGTGACACCTCCAGACCTTAAAGGTTTTTTAGAGATTGTTTTCTGTCTGATTATGTGCATCTGATTCAGCGCAGCTGATGGAGGTTCATATGAAGAGGTGGCGTACAGTGGGTACAACGGAAGCAGTTCAACTGGACATATCATTGCTGACGATGGGGTGCAACTTACAATGAACACCTAAAGGATTTTACATATTGTTTATTGTCAAAAACATTGCTCTGTTTGAAGATCGCTGTTTATGAATATTTGGATTGCTCGTTCTAATGGATTTATATCAACAAACCGGTATCTGCCGAATACATATACAAGACATTTTGTTTTTTCGATATCAGATTGAGTGATGGTTTATTTAAGATATTTAAATCACGTAGCAATGATTCCACGAATTCTCTACCGGTGTTCTGGAAATGGTGTCATGGTCACAAAACGACTGTTCACTAATCATGAAATGGTCTACTCTGAAAAGCGTCTCATAGGGTTTGCCATTACTCTTTTTTCACATGTTACTTGGAAGTTTATAGGTTACTGCTGTTTCAGTAATAGAGTTTAACACGTTGGAGACCGCGCATGTTTTACGTTTTGCGGCCGCGCGGGACTTCAGTGAAATTTTTAGGAATCTTATCAAGCAAATTGGAAAGAAAAACCTACTGTATGATGCAGAAGAAACCTTATCGAATGAAATGGAAAAGAAAATGAAAGAAAAACCTAATATTTGTTTCCGAAATGTGGGCTGAAAGGTCCTAAGCGGTTGACGGACTGCAGCCCACATATGGGCTGCATGGGCTCCAAGGTGTTAAATGCGACAGTACAAAATGTGGTCTGGCAAAGGTCTACAATGACCTGAAGGCACGTAATAAGTTCTATTTTGAAAAAATTCGAAAGTTTCTATGAAAAATAATAAAGTTTTCAGGATAATATAATGAAGATTGTTTTAGCCGCAACCATAGATTAGTCGCACTTATCTTGACTTTCTAAGGCTCCGAAGAAGGCGATAAGGCCGAAACGTCAGCCGAATAAAAATCTGATAATATCTTGGTTGCGGCTAAACAATCTTCACTAAAGTACTCTCGCTATGCCAAGATTCACCGAGAGTCGAACCTGGACACTACTGAAGAGTTTCAGGATTTTCGAGGTCATCGATTGCACAACTCAAAAATGAAGAAATACATTCTGCGATCGAAGTCTATGCTTCCCGGTTCAGTTTATTAGGTTATCCGTACAGTTCCTGCGCGTAGCTTCCCTTAACACATTGACGACATTGAGACGCGGTAACGCGTCTCACTTTGCGCACCTCGTTGGACATTGAGACGCGTTACCGCGTCTCACCCTTATCATCCCTTTTTCTAGGGCATGCGCAGCTTTTTCCCGAATTGTTTGTCTCTCTTCTATGGATTAGAACATAACATTATTGTGAACGACATAGGTCATTGTTTGTTCAAATATGCTCCAGTTTAGAAGAAGTTTTCCAAGCTCACCGAAACCGGCGGCTTGGTTCATTAATAGTTTTCATGCTATTCTCATGAACACGTCAATAAAAAAGGGTAGTGAAAGTAAATGCAAATAAAGAGACAGAAAAATACATGCTTCACTTGGTATAACCACATCAAAAGAGCTTTTGGCATCCACTACAGATAAAATGACTAAAATTTCCTTTTTCATTACCATTACATGTTCTTTAATCGGAACTTCGTCACTATATACTCTATTACCTTCTACGCATTGACTGTTACTGACTCGTCATAACCTTCCGT